TAATTATTACCTCAAAAATAAATCAAAAGATTTTTTTATATGTGTATATGTATATATTATACTTATATAAATTGTATACAAAAAATAAAAGTTCGATTTTTGAAATTTCATTGCGGAGAAAAACGTAACATCGGTTAAATAATATTACATCCACGAATTTAATCGATAATTAAGGTTTATACAGCTGTTTTTAACTCGTAAAACATTCAAGAAACTTAAACCATTATGAAGGAAAAAAATATGTTTTAATAAAACTTGCGGAGTTCACTTAGTATGTATATATACACACACCTTTATCACATTGTAGTAATTTTATTAAGTCATTTTATTTTGATTCCTATGAAACTGTTTGTTGAAAATGTAAATAAATAAATATAAAAATTTGAATACATAATTTGAATTACTTACTATATAGATCTATAAAAAGTATACTCTGCGCGTATGATTATAGTAAAATGTACAAAACTTTAAATAAAAATAAATAAATTGTTAGCATGATTAGTTACAACAATATTTGGTATTTATAAATCAAAATGTTCTACTTTAAATATAAAATTTTTTATCAAAGATAAAAATTTGAAAAAACCAAAATGAGAAATTTGATAATAAATATTAAAAATTCCTTTGCTGTGTATAAATAAGACTAAAAAATATACAGGTAGTGCAATTATACAAGGAACTTAAAAATGGGTAAACTAAATAAGGGAGTAGTGATAGTGAAGACTACGCATTAGGCAATGTTTTACAAGCTGGAAAGCCGTCTCTCCTATAACGCACGTCGTACTTGGGATTTTATAAATGGTTTTATTTATCTATGACAAACACACGATAGCTAAAAAAAAAAAAAACAGATTGCCGTCTAAATTCACGCGCTTTAATATGAACATTATACGCTATACAGCTGTATACATAATACATAAGTAAATACATATTTTATATATACAATTAATAGAACCAAATAAATGAGAATAGTAATTTAATACACACTAGGAAATTTGGCCAACTCAATAGAAATAATAAAATAAACATATAAATAATAAGAACTACAGAGTGATCTATTTAACGAGAAAAAACTATAACTATAAATTAATTAATTTTTTAGTTAGTTTTTATGATTTAAAATTTTTTTTTATTGTTTACTTTAAAAAATAAAAATAAAATAATTTTCTGAAAATTTTATTGAAATACATAGATTTTTGAATAATATGTTAATTTATAATGTTTTGTATTCATAATATTTAAAGTTCGGAATGTAGGAATTATGTCACTCGATTACCCGCAAGTTGTAAGCATAGTAAATTTAAATTAAAACGTTAAAATTTATCAAGAAAATAATATCAATGTATAGCCTATAATTAAATAGATAACTTTATATGTAATGTGGATATATTTATAACAATAACATATCACGACAACTGCATAAGATAAAACTATGTGCCAAATGCAGGGAATAATAGGATAATCTAATTATTCTAATTTATATATGCATACATTTAAAAATACATTATATCTTAAAATATTGATTAAATGGAAAATACTATAAGGATTAAATGGCTTATATGTGAAAATTACAGGCGAACGTTTTCATCGAAAATAATTTTACTACTTTTTTAATACTCAAAAAATCACATATATGATTGCTCTTAAGTGTCATTAATCATACGACGTTACTGAGCATGATAATATGCGTATAATAATGGAATGTCAAATTTTTATACATAATAATATAATATAATATAATATATTTATGCGTCACAATAACGGGCCAAACTTTATGATTAAACGTGAATACCACCATTTTCTAATAAAATATCAATTTAGTTAATAATAAGTATGTAATATACTTGCACGCGCGTGTGTTTATATATAATATTTAATTGTACAATTGTTAACTTGCCGATACTTTATAGAATATATAATTATAAAAGCTAAATGTTACTCTAAATAAGCACTTAAACTTTGTTGTAGGTATACGAAATAAATTTTATTTGAATTGTTTTAAGTTATAACTTACATTATAATATACACTTATTTGACATACAAAATACAATCGCTCTAAAACGTTCGAGATCGTTATAGCGACTTTTAGTGATTTTATAGTTTCAAGTTCAAACTAATATAATAAATTATACATTTTTATTATATATATGTATTAATTGTCAAGGTCTTAGAATAAAATTTATGAACAAATACAATTTATTCATCGTATATTATAAACAATACCAGTAGGAAGGGTGGAGGACTTAATTAATGTTAAACGGTTTAAAGGATACAGTCGCAGGGACGTAATATAATTTCAACTTATAATTGGAAACTTTTAAGCTTGGGCAATTATTAATTATACAACAAAAACGATGTTAGACAGAAAAAATAAAAGACGTATACTACTACAAATTATATTCTAGATTGTAATTTTTTTGTCGTTTAAAATATTAAAATATGATGAGCTATGTATTGATTTTTTATTATCAATAGTAAATTTTTTTTTTTTAAACTGTAAGTTAACTTGTATATTTAGACACATTCAGTATGAGTATGTCTCATTAAAGTAATTTTAACGAACATTAGAATATAATGTATAATATAATGGACACGAATGAGAAGTTTGTCCATAAAAATACTTCATAAATCATTTTGTTAATTATGTTGACATTATATTGTCATTTATACTCAGTCATATATATATATATATATATTTGAAAAGTTCAGACAACATTTTAATTACTATAATATACGATTTATAATAAAATGTATGAGTTATTTATACATAACTTTATCATATTGATTTCATTTTTTTAAATTTATTATCATTAAAGCTAGTTTTAGCCAAATACATCCAATTGTTTTTTTTTTAGTAATTCATTTTTCGAAATGTTAAAAATTAAACGACCTCTTGACAAAAAAGTTGTTAAAACTACAGTGCTTTTAAGTGTACAGCTAAAAATTGGCAAAACATCCAGCAGTAAAACTCACTAAGTAATGTTACTTATAATTATCATATAAGAACGGTTTACGCTCACTATACAAATACACTATGTGTATAAGTTCTATGAAAATATTATAATTACTTAGTTTTTAGACAGTTTTGAAGTTAATATACTACAATAATGTAGATGGTTGGAGTAACCGCGGTGAACGGAATACTATTGCACTTATTTTAATGCAAATGAGTCGTAATAACAATGGCAATAATAATAAAACCCTATTTCGAAAATTATAGGCAAATGGAAGCGGCTATACGAGTATTACTAAAACACGACTTTTATACATTCTGAAATTGTCATAAGAAAATTTAGACAATAATTTGTATAGTTAGAATCCAGTTACTAATTTTTTATCATTAAACGTATACATAAAATTTAAAGTATAAGTTTTAGATATTTTGAATATGAATTTTTTATACATTAAACAAATTAATAAAAATCGTTGCTATTTAGAATGTTTTCATGATTATTTTGCCGTGAAAAATAATTGTTTAAATGCGTTATGTAAATATTTGAAAATTGAATTTTACTAATCTATTTCATTTAAGTGTCTTTAAACTATAGGTACGTATGCCTGTATATATTACATACATATACATTGCAAAATGTAGCATCTTATGAAAAAACCGCAGATACCATTTTTCTTCATAACATTATGATCTCTATAATAATTTGTTTTGAAAGTTTTTACACACCAGAAGATTATTTTTTTATAGATACATCGCATTATATTATGTGTATAATTTATTTTAAAATTTTTACTTGAGTCAATACCCTGGGGAAGTATTTGAGCGTGATACACATGACAAAAGTCTTTTTAATGGATTATAAATAGATATAAGTCAAGTTACAATAAGGTAAGATGGAAAATAGTTTATGATTCGCTCGAACCCTAAGGTGTTTCACCATGATAATTAATCTGGAAAATTTCCGCAGAATCTAAATAATGATGTCAATACAACTATGGTATTCAGGTTAATAATATATATACACATACTCATTAAAATTATATGATTCTATTACAATTATCGTTTAGTGAAAAAAAAATAATATATTACGCAAGTATAAATAGTACATTAAAATAAATTGTGTTAATAGTTTTAAATTAAGAGTATACATTTTACCGGAATTAAAAGCGTTATTAAAGGTATTTGATATATTATAATCTGCTAAAAGTATGCTGTTAGTTTCAGATTTAAGACTATATGATTAATTCTTTTGAGGATAAAAAGGAATTAGGATAATATAACTGTGAATTATTCATATTGTAGGAGTAGTATTTATAATCAATAATACGGCTGCATACTACTTGCGTCCCGTAAAAAGATAAATTTTACAGGTAGTAAATTAAGTAAGTAACTTGCGTCCCATTTTGCGGACGCAACTTAACCATATTATTCTTCTTACCTGCCATTTAAGTCATGACAAAGTTGCGTCCATAAATATTATGCGTCCAGCGTTACAATAATATTGTTCATATTATGAGGTATGTGAAAAATTGTATCTACGGGTTTATAAACGTTTTTTAGTTTACTCTTAGTTTTAGTTTTAATTAACAATTGACGATTTTATAATAAAATATTTTTTAAACTATGCATAATAATTATTTGAACATGTGTTTTTACATAATCTATAAATTTTTTGTATAGTTTTATTTTTTAATGTGATGTTAATGTATTTTTAATGTAATTTAATCAAATGTAGTGGAATCATATGCAATAAATAAATTATAAATATATAATAATACTTTGTAATACTTTATGAGTGCTATGCTTATGCTTTATTTATTTCGGGACGCAACTAGGCTGTCTAAAAAGGTATACCGGGACGCAAATAGGCTATGACCTTTTTTTAAACCTTTTTTTGCGGGACGCAAGTTACCTACTGATAATTAATTCGGACTCAAGTAGTATGCACTGAATAATACTGTAAGTATTACAACCACGAACAGAGCAGCCAGATTCTATGAGATAATAATTTTTGTCGAATTATGAAAATATAAGTAAACAAATTAACCTGTGACTCTGGAGAACCACCCTCATCTCTGATCAACAATAAATGACTGTGACCGTCCACGGATATCTCTTTCTTAAACCGACCTCCTTCTGGACTCTCTTCTTGCATATACGATCCTGTCAGGTATCTGTGAACTAGTGCCGATTTGCCAGACGACAGTGAACCAACAATGCCCAACCGCAGGTCTGGTACTGATCGCGACAACGTCCATTCTTGGCTGTTTACAAACGAATCTGTGAAAATAATGAAAACAAATGATTGGAATTAGTATATGTTTAATCCTCGTATTCAAAATTATTGTGTCGTATACAATAATGCATAAAATAAAATAACATTACAGCGCACATTAAAATATATAATAATATTTCATTATAAACGGTAATTAGAAAAATACTGAAAAATCGATTTTTAATATGACAGGTAAATTATTTTCAATATTTTGCATTAATACTTGAGCCTCGTGTTAATTATACGACCATTTTAATATATTTTAAGATCAAAGAATTTGATAAAAAATTAATCGATGATTTAAATAAAGGGCTATTTTTAGTTCATATTAAAGATAGTTCAAAGTCCCAAATATCATTATTTTTATTTCTTTTTCATAATAGTGCTAATTGAAGAGAGATTAGAGGCGAATACTCAACACAATTTAAGAATTACTTTTCTATAGTTAATAGGTATTTACGTCGATACCGGTTAATACAACTATATAATTAATGTAAAAAATTATTTAAATAAAAAACGAATATTTTACAAATTCAAACAAATTTTAAGTGTATTATTATTCAAATGTAATCACTTATTGTGTAAGTTATACAAATAAATTAAATTAAATTAATCGAAACATAATCACAAACTGAAATGGGTATGCGTTGAAATGTTATAACATTTTTTTATTTTTTAAATTAGATTAATTATAGTTAGAGACTGTTTTTATCACACAACGAGTGGTGGAGAGGGGCTGTGGTGAAAACTGAAGTTCAACAATTTAGTTAGTTATACTTTATAATTATGTTTTCATGATTTCCATTAGAAATTGACATTGCTCATAATGATGATTGTCGAAGTACGTGTCGTTAAAATTGAAAATCGGTAAAACATTAAACGATTAAAGCTCACGAAATAAAATTGAAAAAATGTTTAGAGCCGAACAGTTAATGGCATGTTTACATGAAAAGAAATGTATAATAAACATGCGAAACATGAAAAATACAAGATTTGCACAAAAAACCGGTCGACTGATGATGAGCAAGTTAAGGACGATGTACAAAATCATTGTAACTGTAAATGGATAATTTTGTGAATACAACTTTTTGCTGTAAATTATAATTGAGTAGAGTAAAAAAAAAAAAAATAATATGGTACAAACTTAAAATTAATATTATATAAACAAATATATAAATACAGTTTAAAAAAATGTCTTTTTTATATAATTTATTATATTTTTAGCTTTCTTTATTTATATATTTTTTGTAATTTTTTTGAGCATATTCAGAGACTTGTTTAATGACGAAGACAATAATTTCTATATAAATTGGAGATAACTTAATTATTTGAAAGAAGTCTTGACAGATATTAATAAAATTATACATAAATAAATTAAACTGCACCATTAATAAATTAAACAGACGGGAGTAAATTCAATAATAATATTTGGCGAAGAAATTGAATCAGTGGTTTAGAATTTTTGAGCAAGAAAACTATCAAAACGAACGTATAAAATACACAAAAAAAAAAAAAAAATTACCCGTACAATATATAGGTAAAGCAATACAAATTGTATCATGAGGGTAATGGTTATAAGTTTAAATTTGTGTGTTGATAAACACCGAAAAACAACTAATAATACAATTTAAGTTGGACGTGCAGTAGCAATTTTCTAGTAAACTGTGAATAAATCAACTGCATGTTTAATGGTGATCGTACATACAATAAATACAATACATGTTGTGTAGGTATAGTATAGAGTAATATACATTATGCTTTTAATATTATATCAGAATTATATTGCATATTATATTTATATATTACGTCTTTCACACTTACACTTACAAATACAGTAGACCACGATTATCGAATAATTATACGGTTACTTTACCATTAAAATAGAATTAACACTGTCTTATTGTATTATTATTATGATAATATGATACTTTAAAGAAACGATCTAGGAGGAGGAGAGCTTACTGGGGCTTATCTATTAAAATAGTTCATAATCTACTAAAAAAATTACAAGCATAATTATTTTATAGCTTGTAAGTTGTGATATTTGTTATATCAATAGTTTTTATCTTTGGCCGTAATGACTATAACTACCTTCTCATTCCGAAAATGTAAAAAGATAAGCATAAACATATGATTTTTTGCCATTATATGTTTGATTTTAAACTGTCAAACATTTATGACTATGAGAACAAAAATATTTAAAACATTAGGTAGGTTGTACAATAATTTGCCTACTTAAAAATAAACTTTATTTAAAAAATAATAGTTTTCCTAAAATTAGATTAGATTTTAAACTGCAGCCATATGTCTAGCCAGGTATTGATTTAAACTGATGTAATAAAATTTTACATATAAAAAAGAACTGGGCAAGGACTTTGCAAGAGGCTTTTAAATTAGGTAACCAATTTCTAGACACTTAACACCGTTTCTAATTTAACTCTTTTCTAACCTACTCCCCGACCGACTTTCCATTGAATTTCATTTCATTTTGCCCACATAAAGCTTTCTAACATTAGAATCGAGTTATACCAGCCGATTATTTTATAAGAAATCAGTCGTCATAAAAAATTCTATGATGGGCAATAAAATAATAAATAAAAACGTGTGATAACGTCACCGGAAGAATGCATGATTACATCTGCGAGAGAAGTTGCAGCAGATGCAGGTACCAACAATAAATGAATAAAATGTTATAACACGAACAAAACGGTACATAAGGCGATGTTATAAATCATCTTAATACATAATATACATACAAGCGTGTGCAAGAGCACGTGCCATCGACAGCCTTTTACAGTATTACAGAATTACATCATATACATTATAAATCTATATAATCCGTTTCGTGACAAAAACTATATTGAATATAAACTTTTTATGTCACAAGAATACGTATCGGACCAGATCCGGTTATGCGAAGTTACACACCTTCTCTTTTGGGCTGTTTATGTGCCTCTTTCTCTATCTATTTAAATGTGTATATAGAAATGCGATAACGAATTAGACGAAAATTCGCTTATTATACATTATACAGAATGTTCTATATGACTTTAGACCTTTGGCTACATTTTATTTTTGAGTCGATTTTTAGCGTTTAATACTTAATGGTCTTTTATAGAATTAAATATATTTGTAACGCAATACAATTTTGAATTTGTATTGTCTGACTAAAGCATGGGCAGATAGATAATAAATAAATAACAGTAATACACATAAATGACAATATTTTTCGAAAATAATTTATTTCTGACTGTGAAATTAAATAAAATAGTATTTTAAAAAGCTTGTCTACAATTAGCAGACGGTATCGATTTACGTTAACTGGATGTGGAAAATATAAAGAGGAAGAAACCGAATAAAAATCATCCGCTTTTCGATATTCCTGTCGCAGTGTCGAACTGACAAAGGGCATTACGTTTAGAGGTCCGTACGAGTAGTACTGCGCCCAGATTTTACAATGGTGAGGTGCGTTGAAGAGAGAACACGGGGCGCGTGGATTGTACACAATACGCGCGTTTTAAACGACGCGTATTGTATAATCGAAGCGGCCTCATTCGCCGCTAAACGTATACCTACACTTAGATATATTAGTAGAAGATTTAGGTACATACGTGTGTCGTTTGTGTGTGTGTGTCGAACCGGTTTCCTTTAAAAATCGTTAAGATGCCGGTTCTGTGCTAATGTTTTTTTTTATTACCACTGACCAATCCTTCGACGCGCACAACCGCATGCGAACGGTGATTTCTGTCTCCCTCACATAACATATAGACAATAGTATTAAACTTAAACTGGTGGTATTTTTTACATACAGTATGTAGTTAGTAAACCCACGCGCTCCGCTTTTGGATTTGAAAAATAAATAGTGTTTTTTGAAGCACGACCACGGACGGAATAAAAGAATTATACGACTGGCTGACATATAATATATAAAATGATAACAACTAAGAGTACCTACTTGACCAAACTGTATACAGAGCATTAAGTAGCTAAAAAATACGCTCGTGTTACCAGTATAACTGTAGTTCGTTCGAAAGTTTACGAGATAAATGCAATGTTGAGTTCTACAAAAACAAAAACGGCCGACCGATTTTGTCGCGCATACATCTCTTGCTTTTGTCATGTATGACGTATATACATTTTTATTCTTATTTGAATATTATTTTAAACCATGGTCGAGAAGATATTCTGAAATAAATAAAACCGTTTTTGTCGTTAGCAGCAGGCCAATATTATACAACACATACAATATAATCCACCTGGTCGACGTAGAGAACATTATATTAAATGTGAATGGTTAGCCTGCGGTTTTTGAACGATAGTGGAAATAGGAAGGAGAAGAGGGTGTTAAGCGAGTAATACATATATATACAACATACACATTTATTTAATATGTATATATTATCGTAAATCGTAAATAATAAATCGCAATACAAAAAAAATATAAATGAACGTTAGTAGATATGTTATACTTATAAATAGGCTAATTCTTTCATCATAAAATATTTGATATTATTTATTAATCAATAAAAGTAATAGTGAAACATCATTTAACAGTTAGCAGGTTATAAAGGTCGATATTCTTGTATAATCAAGTTTATTTGAAAAGGGAAAAAAATCAAAATATCCTAATTATTTATTAGCTATTCAACTTACTCGTATGCTCGTATGCAGTTAGAGGAATTGCTCTAAACTGAACTAATTATCATTCTCTACTCTTGAACATTTTGCAATTTCTATTCATGCAGGAAAAGAATTATTTTGGAAGGTATTATACAGTATGACGTATGTTTCGAAATAAAAAGTCCATGTTACACCCTAATATACCTCCTTAATAAATTAATATATCTTAATGCAGTCTTTTCAACAGTAAACTAAAAGAAATTAATGATATTAAATTAAAATTTTTTTAAAGGATTACTGTTGAAAAAACGGCATTTAAATATATTTATATGAAATGCGGTCTTAAAGTCATACGAGTGTATATATGTAGGTGTTATGAGACTTT